GGAGATTTACTATGTTTTTCTATCCTAGAAAATTACCGTAACGTCATTCTGACGATGTTCGAACATTTTCTAGAAAAACACAATATAACTCAAATCATTTATTTTGATTTTCCATTGAATGAACATTGCAGAAAATTTTGTCTGGCACTACAATTTCTTCAATGGAAAAAGAGGCTATAAAAACTTCCCTTTCTCATTCTTTGTTTGAATAACAAGAGACTCATTCTTTTGGCTGCATGCTAATACCATGGCTGCCTAGCATTCCATGGTGTATATGTACCACATTCTCTTTATCCAGTCTATTATTGATGGGCATTTAGATTGATTCCATGTATTTGCTATTGTGAGTAGTGCTGCAGTGAACATATGCATGCATGTGTCCACAATAGAATGATTTATATTCCTTTGGGTATGTAACCAGTAATGGGATCGTTGAGTCAAATGGTATTTTTGTACATGAATGGAGCTAGAGGTTATTATCCTTAGCAAACTAACACAGGAACAGAAAGCCAAATACTGCATGTTGTCACTTGTAAGTGGGAGCTAAATGATGAGAACACATGCACATATAGAGGGGAACAACACACACTGGGGCCTTTTGAAGGGTGAAGGGTGGTGGGAGGAGGGAGAGATTCAGGAAAAATAACTAATGAGTACTAGGCTTAGTACATGGGTGATGAAATAATCAGAACACCAAACTCCCATGACACAAGCTACCTATGTAACAAACCTGCACTTATACCCCTGAACTTAAAATAAAAGCTTAAAATGGCCTGGCGCAGGGGTTCACACCTGTAATTCCAGCACTTTGGGAGGCCGAGGAGGATGGATCAGTAGGTCAAGAGATCGAGACCATCCAGACCGACACGGTGAAACCCCGTCTCTACTACAAAATACAAAAATTAGCCAGGCATGGTGGTGCGCATTTGTAGTCCCAGCTACTCGGGAGGCTGAGGCAGAAGAATCACCTAAACAAGGAGGCGGAGGTTGCAGTGAGCTGAGATTGAGCCACTGTGCGCCAGCCTGGTGTCAGAGCGAGACGTTGCCTCAAAAAAATAATAATAATAATAAATAAATAAGTTTAAAATAAATAAAATTGCCCTTTCTATTCTAATTTCACAGACAAAATATTTTGCTATTATTCTTACTTGTTTCACAACAAATCCTTCCAGATCAATCGGTTTGGACCAATATAATATTTGTGACTAAAAGCATTTATGTTGTTGATAATACGTACACACACACGCATACACACACCACAAAATATGAAACATCATTTGCACGTAAGTACTTGTGCAACTACTAGAATGGATATATTTGAATAAATAGCAAACAATTCATAGTTTTAAATAAAAACAAGTAAATGCTGATATAGAACACTAAAATGATGTTTTGAGGCATATTTCTGTGGTCCTATTAGCACAATATGGCATGAAATACGGGAACATTTCTAGATTTTGTAAAAATTATTTCTAACAGGGATACTAGAATGGCCAAACACATACAGCAATGTACAAAATAATGTAATAAATGTCACTACAGTTGCCAATGACTATTGATGGAATTGGCTCAATTTATCTTCCTCCTCTAGGGCTGGCTGTGAATTGTGGAAGTTAAGATATACACCTTTAAGATGTATCATTCAATAATAAACAAGCCATTATTCACAGGTCAATTACATAATTGCTCTATTTACAGTAACTGTAAAATGTATTTTATGGAGGTAGAAATCAGCATATAGATTTGTAGTATATTTATCACACCTGGGAGGAAAATCCTGGAATATTTCAATTCTTTATTTTAAAAGATATCACTTCACAAGACAGATATAAAAATAACCTTTAAGCATATGAATAGATGTTCACCCTCACTCAGGATATGAGAAATGAGAAATGTAAATTGAAACAAAACTAAGATGCCAACTCTCACCTACCAGAACAGTAAAAATGAAAAAGAATAACAATACTCTTGCTAGGCTGTGGAAACAGAGACACCCTCATATATAGCTGAAGGGAAAGAAAATTGGTGCAAAACTTATGGGATAAAATTTGGCAATATCCAAATGATTACATATGTATTTACATTTTGACCCAATGATCTCACTTTGAGGATTTTTTTTCTGAAGTTGCACATCCAATACTATGAATATACATATACACGTGATCATTCATTGTCATCAGAACATATTAGAAAAAATGTAAATGCCCATTTATAAGACAGAGGTTGAATAAACTATGGCACACCTACACAATGGACATTCTTTTATTTAATAGAATAAGGAAGTTATTTGTTGAATAATGTGGAGCGATTTCTAGGAGATCGTTAAGCACAGCGTTGTGTTAGGCAATTAATAATGTTTGTGGTAAGTTTAAGCTTCTTTAAAATGTATAATTTATTGTGATTACTTTTCTCAGTAAATATTCTTTTTTTAAACTAATTTCGTCTTCATAATCATGTTTTCTTTTTCTTAAAAAAAAAAAAAAGATTCCCTGATTGGTATAAGCTTCTGGCTATACAAAACCTGCAATTTCTTCAGAACTGTGGACTATGGTATGTAAATACATTATGTACTGTCTTCTATTTGATTTTTCTAATAGGTTTTCCACCAACATTACTCTAAAGTACTTTTTGAAAGCAGCAGTTCTCAAACCTAACTGAGCATCAGAATCAACTGTGGGCCTTTACAAAAACAGAGATTCCTGGGCAACACGTAAGTCTGTGGTGTAGTCCAGAAATCATTCTCTTCCAAAAGCCCTGAAGCTGATTCTGAGCACCATCTAAGTTCGCAATCTCTGCTGAGAGTAGGTTTGCAAAATAGGGAGAGAATAAAATTATGATTGCTCTGTATTTTTAAAGAAATTTGTGATTATCATCAATAATTTCTTAATTCTTAAATTCTTCATAATATGGCCAAGAGTGTCTCCTTCTGAAATTGGAAGGACTTTAAGGAAAAACTAAACCATAAGGAAGAATTCTACTTGTCTCATGAAACATGGTTTAGTGGGATAATATCTGGACTTGGAGCCATTCCACAGAAATCAATTCCTGACTCTGACATAACCATGGCCTGCAATGCAGCAAGGTTGTTAATGTTGGTATCTGGTTTCCCTTCTGTAAAATGTATGTAGTTTGGCCTTTTTTCACATAATTGTGGGGACCAAGAAAGACATAAAATGTAAAATGTTCTTACAAACTGCTAAGTGTTATGGTTTTGAACACAACTCTCATTATGTATTTAAGGTCTAATTATGTCTCTATTTACTATAATTTTTGAAGTATTAATTCTACATTTAGGTGATATCATTTTATATGTATTAACTATCTATCTACTATCTACCTATCCGTTTATCCATCTATCCATCCATCTATGCCACTATTTCCTCTGTGAATTAACAGAAGACAAAACTTCAGTTATTTGGGAATATTATGATCTTTTTAAAAAAAGATTAATTTTAAGTTCTGGGATACATGTGCAAGACATGCAGGTTTGTTACATAGGTAAATGTGTATCATGATGGTTTGCTGCACCCATCAACTTATCACCTAGGTATTAAGCCCCACAGGCATTGACTATTTATCCTGAAGCTCTCCCTTCCCTGGCCCCTCTGACAGGCCCCAAGTGTGTTGTTCCCCTACCTGTGTCCATGTGTTTTCATTGTTCATCTCCCACTTATAACTAAGAACATGCGATGTTTAGTTTTTTGTTCCTGTGTTAGTTTCTAAGGACAATTGCTTCCAGCACCATCCATGTCCCTGCAGAGGACATGATCTCATTCCCTTTCATGGATGCATAATATTCCCTGTTGTATATATACCACATTTTCTTTATCCAGTCTATCATTGATGGGCATTTGGGTTGATTCCATGTCTTTGCCTTATGAATAGTGCTGCAGTGAACATATGCCTGCATGTATCTTTACGATGGAATGATTTATAGATACCCAGTAATGGGATTGCTGGGTCAAATGGTACAGGATGATGCAAATTACAGAGAATTTGAAGTGGAGTCATACACAGAAATCTAAGACAATTTGGAAATCACTTTCCCCAGGAAGAGCAGGAATTCCATTTTAAAAGGCATATGAAAATTATATTCCATATGATTTAATATAAACATTTACATATGTTAAACATATATCTTTCATAAAATCTGGCAGAATCAAATACAGTTCACAGTTACATAATTGCCTTATTTTCTGATACATATTGCGTGCTATTATTTCAGAAAACATACTAAGTAAAATTATATTTATCTTAGAAAAATACATCCTGTATATTTTCAAAAGAGTGATAGAAGTCACCACAATAATTTTAAAACTACATATGGTTGAGAAAAATGCCAAAGGGGGAGGAAATTAACTATGATTGGGGTAGTATGTTTCCTGAGTTGGAACAGAATCCTGAATTGCTGGTGGCATTCACACCTCTTCATTACTGCTGTTAGCAATTCTTTATCTAATTCTGGAGTCTATAAAAGCTTAGTGTACCAAAAGGATATAAAATTCATATATAACTCCTAATACAATGTTATGAAAAGAGTTCATTAATAAGCAACACTCAGACTTCCATGGTGAGGCCTGGAGTCCACATCACTCTACAGAAGGCTATTCTCAATCTTATTCTCAGCATCTTAAAAATAAAATCATGACTATAGTATCTCTACAGCATATTTGAGCTGAGAACATTATGTTAATTTATATATCGTCCAACTAGATTCTGTATTCTATTTCTCTGGACAGGTGGCTTTTATACTTTTTAAACTGAGAACAGCTAGTATCTTCTGATTTAGTCCACGGAACTCCTGTCTCCCACAAAAATACACATACAGAAACAAAATATTTAAAATAATACATTTCCGTATTATTACAATTTTTACCAGTTTTATATTCTTCTATTCTATGTCTTTAAAAAATACTGGTCACCAAGTTAGATTGAGTTAATATCCCACCAATGTTCATCTGGAAAAATTGCCTTATCAGTGATTTCAAAAATAATTTGGGGTGCTTGGCTTTGGCAGTATATGTACTCAAATTGGAATGATACAAAAGAAAATTAGCATGGCACCTGTGCAAAAATTATACGCAAATTTGTGAAATATTTAATATTTAAAAAATGACTTGGGGAAGAGTAATCTTCAGATAAACAGATAAAGCAAATGTGATCCACACATACAATGAAATATTATTCAGCCTTAAAAACAAAGGAAATTCTGACACATGCAACAACATGAATGAACCTTGAATTCATGACGTTCAGTGAAATAAGGCAGTCATAAAGGAATAAATAACGTGTGTTTCCAATTATATGAGGAACCTACAATAACTAAATTCATAGAAATGGAAAATAGAATAGTGGTTGTCTGTGGCTGGGGACAGGGGAAATGGAGCTATTGTTCAATGTATATAGAGATTCCATTTTGCAAGATAAGTGTCCTGGAAATGGATGGTAGTGTTGCACAGCAATGAGAATTTACTTAACACCATTGACTGAACACTTTTGGTTAAGATGGTAAATTTTATGCTGTGTATTTATTTTACCATGATTACAGAGAATTTTTTCAATCACTTAGGGAAATACAAATTACAGTGATATACTTCAGATTTACTGAATCAGGAATGGAGGCCTAGATCGGGATTATTTAAGAGCCTCCCAGGTAAATCTGATTCAAAGAACCACTGCTTTAAAATACAACTATGACTTTTCCTCCCAATAGCTAAATTCTTTTGCTACTTTGAAAGGAAGAAAAAATGTGACACAAGGTCTCACAGAAGCCTAACTTTATCCTTAAGCAGGATTAAAAAAAAATAGACTAAGAATTTTTCAAGAGGGAAACCAGTCATACAATACATGTTTATGATATGGATATTGACTATAGAGAAATAAGCATTTCCAGAAAGACAAAAGATAATATTGAAACACACAATACATTTTTGATTTTCATACTTTTTTTGTAGTCATGTGTAGGGTCTTCTCTCAATTGAAAAAAAAGCTACTTTATTTTGTCTTTTATATGCCAAGACCTTTACAAATATTACCTCATCTAACATGAGGATTTATGTTTTTATCTTATTCATAAGGAAGCTGAGGCTTATAAATGTCAATACCTTGCCCAATGTCACGTAGCTCCTATGTGGTGAAAACTCTATCTACCTGACTCCAAAACCTTTAGTCTTTGCAATACTGCCTTGTCTCTCTCTGCACAATTTCATTCCATTGGTACACAGCACAGTGGAGTAGACCTCATTATTGCCATTTTAAAAATAAGAAAAGAACCTCAGGGAGATGACTTTATGAAGGTCACAGTAAGCCTTCCACATTTTGATTCGATTTTCATCCATAAAATAGAGCTATTTCGCCTCTGAGAAATATATTGAAGAAACCAAATAAAATTGGATGTCATAAAAATAATGCGAGAAGGAGTAAAATCTTGATTAATAGAAAGTGCCAGGCAACTATGGTTAATTGAAGGTTAACTAGAGGCTGCTTTTTGTTTTAACCTTTAACGCTGAAAATCCTTTCAAAATAGATTGAGCCACGTCCTGGTTTATGTAAGTTTAGTGTGTTGAACACAGTTAAATCTTTCTTTGAGAGGTTTTATTTCTTTTTCTTTTTCTTTTTTTTTAACTTCTGTATATCCCAGCAGATGTAGATTATACAGGAAATTAATTTGAATTTTTATGAAGGCCAGAAAAAAACTTAAATGTGATTCTTTTGACCAAGTCTCTAGTAGGAGTTTGTATTGTCTCTTTTATTAAAATAATACACCAAAAATAGTTCCAGGTCTTCTTTTATGAGACTGATTCAAAGAGGTTGAACTGTAGAAGATACAGATCAATATTGTATGCCCCACCTTCTCCAAATGAGATTTTAGGCTAGAGAGCTAATAGTAATTTTTTGCTTTTAGTATTCTCTTATATCAAAAAGATGTATTTATGACTTATATAGATTGTTCAAAGGTAATAAAGTCCCCAAATTTCTTCATTTATTAGAGTAATATGGAAAGTGCAGGTTCCTCAGAAGATCCAGTGAAATCCCCACTCTAAAGAGCTGACCTCAATCTACCTTTGCCCAGAGTAACTGTGACCTGCAAGCCTTCCCTTTATCCACCACAAATTCCTTCCCTGTTTTCAATGACAGACACTTGCTGAAACAGAGAGATGAATAATGTGAAATGAACATGAATCAAGGCATAATTAAAGGGACACATGCTAGAGGTGGCTACTACAAGTGCTTTAAGTATCTTTACTGGCCAATCAACACCATAGCCTTTTTAGGTTAACAAAATAATATTAGAAACAGATTTTCATGGTTGAAATTAGTGATTAGTGATTTTTTCAAATAGAGGCCAAAAATATGTTAAGAAGCATTTAGTCTGCTGTAAGATTTAAGTTTAAGAATCTAACCAGCCTTTCAAATTTTACCTATAAGAATGGCACCCTAGATTTGATTTCTATAGAGACCTCTGTCCAGGCATTACATCGGGGATTGCTGGCCACCCAAGTCTAACTAGAAAAGCAGCTGAGTCCTACTGTTGTAATCACATTGCATTTGCTGCATTTCCCTTCAGGGAATCTACCATCTTTGGTACAGTCTTACATCCTAAAAAAAAACTGATAAAGCCAAGGATTGGTAAAGCTTACAGGACTATGTTGTGTAATACTTGCTATTAAATGTCTGTATTTGAAGAAGGATTTTATTTTCAGTTACTTAGAAAGAGGGTATAAGAGCAGATAACAGACAAGAACAAAGATGGCATAAGAGCAATGAATAACATTTCTATTAATTTCCACTCAAAGGAGGCTAATATTTTTACACCGAATTTTTAAGGTCAGTTCACAGCAGGAGATATCAAAATAGAGTTTGCATAATCAGTCCTAGAGATCTTTAGTCAGCAGGCAAACTAAATGATCAACAAAAATTCCTTCCATTCTACAGACACAAACCTCTTCATATGAGCTCACATTTAGTGCTTTCTTAGAGAAATAATCACTTATCTGGAACATTTTGATAATTAGAAATGACTTGCCAAGGAGAATTTGCTTGCTCCCGTTGTCTTGGCGATCCCTTTATAAAAGTTGATTTGCTGTAATATAGGCAGAATATATGTGAAACACAGAAATCCTGGTGATAATCCAAGCCCAGCGTTTCACACGGCAGGTGTTGTAAGAAAAAATTCCCCCTAATGGTGCATTGATAGAGCTGGCTTTCTAAAAATAAGCTGAAGGTCTTCCCCATCCAGTGTGAAGAGACCTGAAGTTCTGATGTAAAAAATCCATTTAGATAAGGAAATAAGTATGACCTCCTTTGGCCTCTTGGCTCTGCTGTCAGTCTCCCGGTTGCCCTTTCAAGAGTTCTTCTTTCAGACTGAGTTTAACTTTTTTTTTTTTTTTTTTTTTTTTGAGACGGAGTTTCGCTCTTGTTACCCAGGCTGGAGTGCAATGGCGCGATCTCGGCTCACCGCAACCTCCGCCTTCTGGGTTCAGACAATTCTCCTGCCTCAGCCTCCTTAGTAGCTGGGATTACAGGCACGCGCCACCATGCCCAGCTGATTTTTTGTATTTTTAGTAGAGACGGGGTTTCACCATGTTGACCAGGATGGTCTCGATCTCTTGACCTCGTGATCCACCCGCCTCGGCCTCCCAAAGTGCTGGGATTACAGGCGTGAGCCACCGCGCCTGGCCCGAGTTTAACATTTACATGACTCTCTCATTTCTAAGATTTGAGAAGTGTGGCTGAGAGGCCAAATGATCTAGCAAAGATTCAGAACAAGGCAACAAGTTCAAATAGATTTGGCAGATACGGGATTCTCATCGCCAACACATTGTCTCAGAAACCAAGTGCCCACCATGTCTAGTTGCAGAGAGTTCACAAATTCATGTAAAACGTAAAACTTGTCTTTTGCAGGAGAAAATCCAGCTCCATGTGTATGTTATTCATATTAAGAGGGATAAATGTCGCTTATATTTATCTATACATTTATGGAGTTAAATATCAGATATCTTTTCTCAAAAACTGTCACATTTTCTGGTTGAAAACATATTTTACCAAACCATCCCTTTCTCTAACACGTGTGAAAGTGATGACAGAGAAAGAATTGTCTAACCTAATGGTTTCATTACCCAAATTCTTCTGCATCATGTAAGTGAGGCTGAGTCAGCACCTACCTTTCCTGTTTTTTTTTCCCATCTTTTCTTTTTTTGCAGTTGTCCTATTTGTAATTTTACTGATATGCTAGCCACCCAGTATATTGTCCAAAATACAAAGAAAATATTTTATATTTACATTTTTAATAAAATGGATTTAAGTAATTACAAACTCAGGGCCTTTACAAGTTTATAGTTTGGGCTATATAAGGCACAGAGGCTTCCTCTACATTTACCACTCACCATCTGGGCAATCTTTCTTCTGGCAAGACTTTTAAAAAAAAAGCAGGGGGGAGCAAAAGCTTTAGGGGATAAACTGGGGGGCTGGGCTAGAGAAACAGTGAAAACATGTTTTCCGAAGTTTGCTAAGAACTGCCAAAGTACTGCCATTCACTTCAACATTACTTTTCTTTAAAGATGTTGAAAGATGCAAAACTTTGCTCTTTTCCTAAACCTCATGAAAAGCCATATAACCTACAAAATATGTTAATTTTTCTTGGGCCCATCATAGAGCTGACATTGCAAGGCATCTTAAGTCCATTAGGATTGTTTTAACAGAATACCGTAGATTGAGGCAGAGAAGTCCAAGACCAAGATGCTGACAGATCCAGTCTCTAGTGAGAATACTTTTCCTGGTTTGTATATGGCCCTCATTTCATTGTGTCCTCAAGAAATGGAAAGCAGAGGAAGAGCAAGGTGTCATATCTCTTCATATAATGGCACTAATCCTATTCATGAGGACTCGATCCTCATTACCTGACCACCTCGCAAAGGACTTACCTCTGATACCCTCATGTTGGGGTTAAGATTTCAACATGTGAAATTTTCAGAGATACGAACATTCAATTCATGATATAAGACAATCAAGTAAATGGAATTCCAAAGAAGGGCAAGCCTTATTAAAAAAAAAGAAAGACAGATACACAAACTTATTCACCTATGTCAGAGAATACAACACATAAATGG